ACCTAGTATTGCTACTATTGTGCTTTTTGAAGATTTTGTGCATTCAATTTTTTACATCTGCATTGCCATTTGCTACCATTTTTGAGAGCAATTTAATTTTGAGGTTATTTTCGTCAGGAGAATCGTCTAGCAAAATCCATTATTCAAATCTTTGCGCTATTAAAATTATTATAGCAATTCTGTAGTGAAAATTTTTGAGCATTTAAATCTTCGGTTAAATCTTCGGTCATCGTTGTCACTCAGTCTCCTACCTTTTTGACCATTTAGACAGTTTATGGTAACTCCAGTTTTTGAAGCATTTAAAAATTTTATCGCTGAGATAGAATAAATACACTACGCTCCCAATCCAAACAATCTCAACCAATTGTGGACTCTTCTACAGTCTGGGTGTTATTTCAAGTTTCAACCGTCAGAGCCTTGCCGAGTACCTCTTTTTCAGCACCTCTGCAACATCTGTTCTGGGGGCCTCGAGTGTTGAGGAGAGGTGGCAGTGGGAGGCAAGGGGGAGGGAGTAGGTGGAGGTAACGGAGAGCCGCAGAGAATCGACCACGGGCACTAGTCAGGCAACGCAATTTATCAGAGCTGGTAGTTGAATAACGATGCCCCTGTCCACGCCGCCTGAGAGGTGTACATTTAATTAACATTAGGACGCAAAAACGTGTCTGCGCCGGAACTGAGCAGGGAGGTAGAGGGAGAGAGGATGTGCTTTATGCCCAAATGGCCCATTAGTCCACCCTACTCAATTCATGCCGCTTAGTTAGTTAGCTTCTCCGGTTGTGTCTGCTGTATGTATTTGCGTGTTCTAATGCAGTGCGATGAGTGGACAAAACGACCTGATGCCTCATTAACACGCCCCTCAAAAAGCGTAATTAATACAAAAAAGCTAGATTATTCATTAGTTACCCTTCGAATCATGCAATGCTAAGCGTATGTCATGTGCAGAAGTTACCTCCATGGATAAAGGCATTTTTTGCCCCACTTTGACTAGTTTTACCAAATTGCTTTTTTATTCTCCATTTATAACCTTGAGCCTAGAGACGCTTACTTATTTTTAGATTATGCACTTAAGAGCTTAGAGAAAAACCAAACACCGAAGCTCATATATAGGATGCTTTAAAGGTATTTCCTTGTTATCTTTCAATTATGTGCGGTATGACAAGCGTCTGGCAATGGGAGGTATTACAACGAAGTCTGTCATAAAATTAGCCGTACTTGCGCATTCTTCGCGCGAATTTTCGCTTCAAGTCGGCTACTTTTATTAGGTGCACCATCAATAGACGCAACCTTGTGTTCCGTCTTCCTTTGATGAAAGTGTCCTATTTCCATGCGCTTAAATTTACCGAGAACTTGTTCACCTTTTACGCAAATACCACCAGTCAAAATTATTACTGGTGTTATAAAATTAGAATGGTTCACTATCGTTAAAACATTTGGCTGTCTGCTAAGGCAGATAATACATCGGTGGATTGCTTTCAGATGTCAAGAGCTAGACAGCAATTGACACCCTTTGTGTTCAGTTTACAACTGCGTACCGATAATGACGTCATCTCTCACGGGCCTGTAGATACTTACCTCGGTAAATTGGCATTGCGATAGCGCCTTCTGCAATGAAAATGGGTCCAAAATTTTGACAGATGTCTAGAAGTAACTAAGATTGCAAACGGTTTTTTTATTTCCTCAGAAAATGTCGCAAGGATCCACCTGAAGATTTGCCGGTCGTGAGTGAGAAAAATCCGAATGGTCCAAATTGGACACAGTCTAAATACATTTGTGACATCAACTCCATTCTTTTCCGCTCAGCAATACTCTTTTGAAAACCTAGGCATTTCTTGTGCTTCGTAAAATTAGCCTTCTTTAATTCATAGATCTTTGACTATGTAATGTCAAAAATGATAAAGATAACACGGAACCCATTTATTGTCAAATGCCCAGTCAAATAAAAAAGACAAAGGTAAACCATTTGTATCGTTATGCTGTTGGAGATAGATTTTTACACGTTCCGAACTTAATGTAAAGCATTTTGTATTGCCAAAATCACTTTTTTTGGATGCTCCTTTAAAAGGATTTAGAAGACTTTGATACACCACATAGTCTTTGTTTATTTCCTCTTTTCTCATATGTCAACAGGAAGTTAATTGTCAGGATTAATTCCACGAATAAATAGCTGCCATTTGCGAATTTATTTCCCATAGATGCATGTTAACAGACATATATTGCAGCACAAAATTATCGCTTAATTAATGGTCAGCTGCAAAGTGATGGTACAGCAGGAATTAATGTCGCTCCCGAATGCCAACTACTGGTACTTGCTAATGACCTCAAAAATTGTTTCTAACAATGTCAATAAATATGGACATTACATCTTATCATTTTAGTCGGGAAACATATTTTGCCCTCGAATACATCCCATTGCTTTATGGAACCTTTTTTAGATAAATGAAATGAATTAACCTCTATCGTCCACAATGATGGGCTTAATGCAATGCAGGTCATTATTTTCTGTCCTCTTTTCCATCGGTTAGGTATATTTATGAGGCGATGTTTCCAAAATCCTACAATTCACTCAAGCGACGGTTGCCAATCCTTCGCGGGGAGAGCGATTTTTAGTCGCTGATTCATGTTGGCGTTCAAAATACCTGCAGTTTGTATTAAACTAGCCGTTGTCCCAGAGTGCCATACAATATTTGTTTTCAGCACTCGACGAAAATCAATAGTTTCAACATATTCTTGCAGAGAGAAAGTGACATGACCACAGGCATCGGATTCACTGACCTTAATGTTTGAAGATTTTTTATAAGATCTCGATATATGACTGAAGGCATGTAATCTTAAATGTGTCCAAAGTTATGGGAATGCCTAGTGGTAAAAGCATTCCGTCCCTTTTCTGAGTTGATGAACTAGGTACCTCACTACATGGATGTCTGCCAGTCTGC